GGCATGTGCCAGCTCTTTCTGGTGATGCCCCCTCCCCCTCCCCCCTCACATCCCCTCTCCTCCATCAGCCAGTCCAGTCCCAGCGGAGTCTCCTTGCAAACAAAGCCTGCAGCATTCTGGGAAAGCCAGTTTTTCAGATCATGTGGTTCTGGTTAGATGGGCTGCTCTCCCAGCCACTAGATCATCATCTCTCTGAAAGCATGCAGAGCTGCCCATAATAATAGAAGTGAAATATGATATTGTGTTGATGTTACACTTACCGCAGGTCCAGTTATATGATCTGTACAGTAAAGTCTATTTGTCTTATCATGCAGATGAAAAAAAATATATATATGTGCAGACATGCGATTAATCAGGCAGTCGACTGACAAATTAACTTAATGATTAAATAGAAAATTCCAATGATTTAAACTGAGAGAAAAAACAATAGTCAGCAGTTCACTATAATGTTATTCAGGTTATATAGTGCAATTTACTGAGGTCAGACTATGAAGTTTTAAAGTTTTGTACAGTAAGAATGTCTAGGATTCACATTAGGAGCTTTACTTAGAATAGATTTCTGTGGAATTTAATCTTTTTTCAATATATTGTTTCCTCACTGATTAATAGAAAATCTGGTTGGTGCCAGCCACACGTTCAGTATGTATTGCAGTTGAACTTATTTCACACTTTATCCTGTTACCAATGTGAAATTGCTATTAGGTGACATACTTGTAGAAAAAAAACACAACTAATTTCACTGTACAGATTTTAAAATCTCCAAAATATTTAAAATAAATGATGAATTACAAGTTGGTCTCCACATCACACTCCTGCTCCACAGGGTGTATATTGCTACATATTGAGGGAAGATAAACTTTGATTTCTCTTGACCTTCTAGAAGATTGTTTGTGTCCTACATTAACCTATTTGTTAATGTCGTTATATTGTCATAAAAAGTGTTGGGAGAAGGTTAGATGGATAGCTTATTTGTATAAACTAGTTTTAGTTCCCTAAACTTAAATATACCTCAATCTCAGGGGAGACAAACAAGCACATGCTTATG